GGGATCTTCCCCAAAGAATTAAAAGAATCATACCACAGTGATATATGTGTGCCCATGTTCATAGCAGCACAGTTTGTGATAGCTAAAACTTGGAAACAGCCAAAATGTCCATCAACTGGAGACTGGATAAAGAAAATGTGGTTTTGGAGTACTACTCAACCATAAAAATGAGAAATTATAAACATTTATTGCTAAATGAATGCACATAAAGGCGATACTCTTAAATGAAATAAATAGGACACACATTTGTAAATACTGAATAGTTTCTCTAGTGTGAGAAACTGAAAGTGTAAATAAAGACTAAAAGGTATAATAGGTAATGTGAAATAGGAAGAAAAGGGGCAAAGGGGAAGGGGAAGTGGGAGGGGTAGGGGAAAGGAAAGAAAGGAATGGAATTAATATGAGAAAAATGAAAAAAAAGGAAACAAAGTCTTTATAAATAGGGAGGAATGGAGAGGTTGAAGGGAGGGCAGGGGAAAGGGGAAAATAAGAATCAAGAGAGATTATGTAAAGGTGCAAATTTCCAATGATGACTGTCAGTATATTGTATACCTAAAATGTATCAATAAAATAAAAATTTTAAAAAAGAAGAAAACATGTTATTCTTCCACAATATGAAAATTGTTCTTTTCAATAGCAACTAATAGGCAAACCCACAAAGTAGGAGAAATATACACAAAACATATATATTTCTGTCAAAAGACTTATCTCCAGAACATGTAGTGTTCCTGTAGTATATAGTAATAGTAATAGGACAAAATATCGTAATAGTAACTGGACAAAAGAGCCAATTAAATTTAATAAAATACTTCAAAAGATACTGAACAAAAGAAGATACAAAGATGAAAAATACATAAATTTAAAGGTATTCAATATCATTATCCATCAGAGAAATGTGGACTAATGACTCACTGATACACTATCACATATACCTTGAAAAGCTAGTATTAAAATAACCTCTCAGGTTTGATAGGGTGTAGGGCAGGGTTCAATAAACTTTATTTAAATGGAGACATGGTAATATCTGAAGCTCTGAGGTTCCTAAAGTTTTCATAACTATTACTCAATTCTACAGTTATAGCATGAAATCAGCCCATTCATAAACAAACAACTATGACCCTGTCTTATACAGTCTTACCTATAAGTAACACAGAATTTGGCTCAGGAATGAGAGTTTTCAGATCCTTTTTGAAGAGCAAAGAAACTCTCATGCACTTCTCAAATGAAAACCAAAAGGTACAACTACTTTGGAAAGCTGATCATCATTTCCTAAAATATATACGTACTGAGTGATCCTGATATTCCAAACCTATTTCTCCAAGAGAAAGGAAAACATGTATCTAAACAAAGACATACAAAAACACTGATGGAAAATTAATTTACAAATCTCAGAAAATGAAAACAACTAAATATCTCTCAAAAAGTAAGCAAATTAAACAACTATATTAAATAGAATACCACTCAGCAATAAAAAGAAAACACTCATACAAATAAGTATATAAATAAGTCTCTAAACTATTATGCTATGTGGAAAAATACACACAGGAAAGCATGTTTATATTTATCCAAAAGGCAAACCAATGTATAGTATCAAAGAGGGAAAGAGAAATGAGGAATCTTGCCTGAGTAATGAAAATGTTCTGCATCCTGCTTGTAAAGCTGGTTTCTTGAGTAGATCTCTTTCGAAATTCATAGACTGAAGCCCTTTAAAGAGAGCCAGTTTATTTTATTTAAATTATTCTTCAATGATGTTAATAAGGAAAAATTAAGTGAATGATAACTATAAACACTCAGAGGAGTTTATGCAGAAGGGTTTGCCTTTTGTACTCATCTCCACAGATATTTAGCCAGCCATGAAATCTCATTCCCCAAACAGGCTGGCTCCTTGAGCAGTATGCTAAACACGTTTCTATTTTATTACCCAATTTTTCTTGATCAATCTCTTTTACTCATGGAAGACTTCTCTCAGTTGAAGAGAGCGATGTGTTCATTTTGTTAGCATAAATATAAATTTCTGTTGATGATAATGCAGATGAATAATTGACATAATGGAAACTGTCAGCAGATTTCTAAAGTGAGTAAGGAGAAAGTCCAGTAAGAGGAATATCCAGGGAACGAGATTTTATGATGTGAGGGAAAGAATTCTAGAATCAGAGTTGTCAAAGTGTAAAGGTCCTCTAAGGCCTCAATTTCCTTTTCCGCATGTAAGCAATGGGATGGGTAACCTCAGGTCTCTTCTGGCTGGGAAATTCCATGGACCTGAACACTTTGAGCATAGATTATCACAGGCTGAGAAAAATAAAGGAAGAGTTTGAGGAAAGAAGAAATTATTATCAAGCAAACAAAATCTGCAGCTGACTCTGGGGTTGGACTCCTGCCAACATGTAATGATGCTTTCAGTCAGGTGACCATCCTGTCCCCAAGCATTGCTCCGTCCAGAGGAGGTGAGGTGGGTGCACTGGACCCTCCCAGGAGCAAGGCCAGGCCTCTAAGCCTCCTTCCAGCCCTGTGGGCCCCAACATGAGTCGAAGGGTGGAGGTTAGAGCTCCATAGTTGACCAAGTCATCAACGGTCCAAGTTACAAAAGCTCAACGAGAGCTCAGCCCCAGTACAACTTTCCTACCCAGCATACCTGAACAATCTCTTTCTCTTTATCCTTAAAATTCTAGGGAATCTTTGTGTAGGGAAAGGTATTCTGTTTCCTCCAAAAATTTTAGAAGTGATTATAGAATAGATTGAAATATAAGTTATGCTATAAGCCACGAAAACCTATTAAAATCAAAATTAGCCATCGGTACACTAACAGATGAACTTACCGAGTCAAAGGATTCTTCTTCGAAAAAATATTTAAATATTCTTAAATACTGACATCTCAGGGAAGTTTAAATGATTTAAATATTTTAAAACAATGACTTTTTGTTTGTTTGTTTGGTACCAGGGATCGAACTCGGGTACTTGTGCTTGCGCAGCAGACGGCAAAACCACTGAGCCAAATCCCCAGCACAATGACTTTTTCTAACTCAGTTCTTCAGCAACATTGTTGAATAAATTTTCTTCACTTTCCTATTTAGAAATCTTGTTCTTAACTACAGGCTTCTTTCTACTTTTTAAACAAATGCTTGCAATCTTTGTCTACAAATTACTAGTAAGGCACTTGCAAATATTTAATATAGAATTTATTGAGTCAAATATATATGGATCCATGTTTAGAAAATAGTCAATAATTACACAGCAATTTTAAGATTTGGGAAAGAAAAATAATATTATCATGGATCTTGCTCTGTTGACATCCCATACACAAGATATTCAACAGTAGAATTAGTGAGGCAAACAAAACACATTGTTCAACTTAAATCATTTTTATATAAGAATTTCAGAATTTTTGGATATGCCCCAGTTCTCCTTCAGATTACTTTTGTTAAAAAATTTCAGACAAACAGATCATCAACCCTTCCCCACCACTGGTACCAGTCACTGGTACCCACCATTCCATTCTCCACTTCCACGACGTCAGTATTTTTAGATTGAGAGAGATCTGACAGCATTTGTCTTTCTCTGTCTACACTGGTTTAACACAGTTCTCCAGGCTCACCGTGTCATTAGAAATGATAAGATTATAATATTTTGTCATGGCTGAGTAGTGTTGTGTTGTGTAAATTCAAGGAGCCTGTTATTCAGTGAGGTGACTACAGCTAATGCTGGTGCTTAGTATTTATGAAAAATACTAAGAGAATAGATGTTAAATGTTGCAGTCACTGTATGATAACTGTGTGAAGCTATGTGAGGTAATGCAGAAGACAGCAGGATTAACCTTTCCGTAATATGTACCTATTGGAGAACTAGTACTATGTTTTGTGAAGTTTTTGCTATCCTACAAATATTAATAACATGAATATGTCCGCAGTAAAAAAAAAATGCATAACCATATTAACCCAACATTGACTTTAACAATTACAATATATATCTTAAGTCAATGAATTTTCACTTTAGGTGATAAATGCTTTAGATGCATAATTGACATTTTCCATGAATTAATTTTAATATTGATTTCATTAAAAATCTCATTTTTCTTCACACTAATGTGAAAACTCTAAGAGATGAAGCATTTTCTTATGTTAAATAGGGAAAAATTCAATTAAATCAGAAGAATTCAATAAATTTGGGAACCTTTTAACAATAATAAAAATAACATTGATAAATGAATTTATTCTACCGCATGATCTATATAGGAAGGAAGAACTATATTAAGTTCAGGTTTCTTTTCTCAACAGTTCCATCCACTCTTCATAGATCTACAGGCATATGTTTTAATTCCTTTTTCATTCCTTCTAATACAACATATAGAACACAGCAGAATCATAAGCCTAACATTGCTAAAGTTTCTTTCTATTTAATTCTATGAAGTGAATTTCAAGAAACAAGTTGAAAAGGGCTGAAAAAAGTACGTGTACATCCCAATTTGCTTACTGTACAGTAAGGGTAGTGGTTCAGGCTCACATCTTTGGTCAGAGCTAAGAGAGTCTAACGCACTAGAAGGCGACTCCTTTTTGCTGGCACCGCAGCCTTTCAGTGGCTTCTTGTTGACCGTAACCACGTGTGCCCCAGCAAATGCAGCTGGGGCCAGGGTAGCCAAAGAGTCTTTGGGATGGCAATCTGCCCACATACCAGCTCCCTCTGCTCTGTGGACAGGAGACAGGCCCAACCCAGAACCATTCCCAGGATGGAGCTTGAAGATAATAAAAAGCAACATCGTAGCAATTCACTTCTTGACATTTTAAAGTGGCAATGTGGCTACCCTATGAACTGTTTTCTGAGTACTGGAACCCTTTTACATTTCCAAATCCTTTCACAGAACCTAAGACCGTACAGTATAAGTGAAAACAGAAGATGCTATTGGTTGTTCAAAATGATCTTCATAATTTATACACCAAAGGAATATACTAGCATATCTCAATTTATACCAAAATTTATCAACATGCACAGATTTTAAAATATCTTACCTCTTTCTAGGGAAATGTCTTACTTGCAAGGCACACTTATTGAGTTGACTGGGTGTCCTAAGGACCTGAACACGTTACGTGCCCTATAAAAATAAACAAGTCATTCTTAGACTTCAGTATAAATCATACATTTCTCAGTCTATTAATAGGTACTCTACAAAATGAAAGGTCACTGTAAAATTTTTCAAATAACTTTCCTATTTAAAAAAAATAAACCATGGGAAGGAAAAAGCTATTACAGAAAGCAGACCCTAAATGTAAGAAATGTTTCACTCTCACAAATGCCTCACTTTCAGTCCCCAAACAAATTCCAATTTGTATTTACTAATCAGATTTGGAGTATTTTGAAATAATTCGTTATTTAGGCTGCAACTGTGGAAAGAGTGAGAATTATCTGAGAATGAGTCGAAACACAAGCATACTCTGCTGATTTGTCCATAATACTAGAGTTTCTCACCGCCCATGACAAAATGTTCCAATTGACAACCAAGCAAGACAGTGATTTCATGGCACTATTACCAAGTAGCTGAATTTCACTTGAACAAAAGCGTTTTCCTTTTACTGAACAAGAAAATAAGCGACATGTGTAAATAAAAAGAAATTTTATATAGCTGAATTTTTCAAAGATAAAGCTGAAAACATGTTTGAACAATTTCATTTTACTAAAATACATGCTTTGTAGCACTGATTAGACATTTGTCATATATGAATAATGAACACATTTTAGAAAACACAATAAAGAAATTCAGAGCCAAAGACTTAATGGTACTACATCTGGAAAAATATATAATTTGCTCAAAAAGAAGTGTGCAGTAGAGAGTAAGTAGCTGATTATGAATCTTATTACACATTACTAAACTTATTAAAATAAACAATAAAATGATACAGATCCTAAAGTAGTATTCACTTCACAGTTAATTCCAATCTTGTTAATTTTTCTGCTGTACAATTTTGAGAAATAAAAATTTCTATATCTATTTTGAGAAATATAAAATCTATTAATCAATCCATTCATTAGATATTTATTTCACCCCTTAAATGTGATAGGATTTTTAAAAATCTTAGAGTGAATTTAAGCAGATAATCTATTACACCAAACACTGAGCACTCAAGCGTCACTATCATAACCTCTGTCTCTTGTATACATGCATTATGGAAAGGTGAGATTACCTCAAGGTAGCAATCAGAGGGGAGACAAGAAGCATGGGGAAAAGTCAGTTAACTGAAAAGCTCGTGTTTGGGAAGGCTCATCCGTGCGGATATTCAAATTACTACGGGCGGAAGCTCTGGGCTGAGGTTGTGGTCCAGTGGTAGAGCCTCTGCTCAGATGCACCCAGCTCTGGGTTCAATCCCAGCACTGTCACACAGCAGCAGCAACAAGAACAGCAACAACAGGCAGAGCTGTGAGGAGCATCACCATGAGGACACAGTCACAGGGTTTTAGAGAAGAGGAAGGAGACCACTTAGGAAGTGACACAGACAAGGCCAGAGCGCGGTATCACAGTTACAATCTCAGTGGTGTGAGTGATGGGAGAGAGAAATAGCCTCCTCTTGAAACTGGGAGAAACAGAGGCATCTAGCTTTGTTTGGAGAAAAGATAAGGGGAAATACACAAAAGCGGTTGAAGATAAAGGTGCTTTGTTGGTGCGCTCAGGAGAGCAGCTCGAAAGGGTACCAGGAGACAGAGAAAACGGGAGGATTAGGGTGAGTGTGTTGGTGGCTCTGGGCTCCTTTTGGTGGCTCACTTAAAATGAGGAGGTGGACATGATGAGCTAAGTTCTGATGTCCCCATGGCGGACAACAGTGATAAGGATGAGTGGCCAAGGGCGGAGGTGGCTGTCAGCAGTGCTTGTCAGGAGTGCTCCGCTCTGGGTCTGAGGGTCTCAAGCCTCGTGCTCTCTGACCCAGAAAAGGATGTCTGAATTCCTCTTGGATTTGAGGTGGACCTTTCAAGGTTAACAGGAGGGCAGCCTTTCTTGGCCTTCAGTTCTGGTTGCCTGCATAAAAGGGACATATGCCCTGTGTGGACTTCCTTATAATTGACACAGTGCTAGAAAAGGAGAGGATGAAAGGTGGCCGGATATTCCACCAAAAGCTGCATGTATTTTTCTTCTTTTGGTACTGGGGATCGAACTCGGGACCTCGTGATTGCAAGGCAGGCATGGTGCCTCTGAGCTAAATCTCCGGCCCAACCAAAGGATGGTTGGTCAAGGAAGTCCTCTCTGAATTAGTGGCATTTTATTTGGGATCTGAAGAAAGAATTCACATGGAAATCTGAAAAAGCATGTTCTGGACCGAAGGAGTAGTAAATACAAAGGCTCTGGGGAAAAAAATCATTTATAGAATATTCTAGAAACAGCAATAAGGTCCACAAGAAATGAGTGAGAAGAGCAATGGACGGAGGCAGAGGCACAAAATGCATGTGTTGTAACCGTGAACAACTTTCAAGTGACACCAAAGTAAACTGGCGGCATTGGCAAGATCATCACCATCAATGCAGTTTCTTGCTTTACAACAATGTACTGGTGAAACTGGAACATTGTAGGAAACATGTATGTAGCTAAGAGTAAAGTAATTAAAGTAGCTTACTCACACACTACTATTTCAGTAATTTCTATTTCAAACTGGCCACAAAATAACCACAGTCTTGGTAAAAATAAATATTCCTCAAATACACAGAATATTGTTCAATTAAATAACTATAACTTTAGTTAAAATATATATTTGCTTGAAGGAATAAAAATATTCTTCTCTGATAATGCAAAGTATTTACTGGAATAGATTAAGTTTCCCATCCTCGGAGAGCCTATATGAGCCAAGCAAGCACCTGCAGATACAAAATAACTGATCCAACCTGACAGTTCTGTTTTTGCAATTCACACCATATAATTTTTCATACAAAAAAGTCTGTCAAAAGAGGTTCCATTAGTGTCAGGTAAAGATTCCTAACAAGTATACTTTTAGCTTGTTCTAAAATGATAGTAACAAGTGAAACTAAGTGGCCAACTCCTATTGCAAATAGATTGTAATTCTTTGTCTTATCTGCTTCTTTTCTTTGATGCTGGTGTTCTCTTGGAAACTAGAAAGGAACGGTGACTTTGACAGATGGGATGGGTACTGCGCGCTACAGGGCTGTACTCAGAGTGAATGATACATTATACTCTCTGCTAGACCTGTTGTCATTCAGTAATGATTTACTAGGAGTTAACTGAACTGAAATGTACATTGGATATCTTCTTTAAAAATAACGGAATGTATTGGAAAGACTTAAAACTATCTTAATGTTGCTGGAAAGGGACATTTGAACTTTAAAATATCTTCCCTTCCTTTTCTCTTCCACCTTCCCTCCACCTCCTATCTCTCATGAGAGGTTGGAAAATGAGATAATTTGGGCAATAGGTATGAATAAATAAAAAACTAATCAACGGAGGTTTAATTTCATCAAACATGCAGAATTCCAAATGACTTTGATTAGAATTAAGAGAATTTTTGTTTTTTAACAACTTGAAGATGAGCATTTTTCCTGAATATTAGTGTATTAAATGTGTGTAATTTCCTGTTTTACCTTCAATGTGTAATTTACATATATTGTTTATTTATTGCTATATTTAAAATAATTATTAAACATATCAAGTTGTCAGGAAACACTTTAAGTGAAACATTAAATAGACATGAAATTAAAATATAACGTTCTGAGATGTTAGGACTCATATTTTCCTAGTATACCCCAAATGGATGGAAAAGTACTGAGAAGAGTTAGAATTTTTAAAAATATGTAATGACTCTTCTTTTAAGTAAATGTCTACTGAATGAGTGTTCTCCCATCTCCTTTCCTTCATGTTACTGAGGGCTCAGGCCGGTTCCGAATGACTGCCCTCCACTGTGACCAGTGTAAGGATGGCCGTAGATGCTGAATGCTTAGGAATCATGGGGACCAGGATCCAAGTCAGACCCAGGAGCTGCTGGTTCCGAGTCCAGAGTAGAGCTAGAGAGGCTCAGGAAGATGCAGGGTCCGCATGTCAGAGGCTCACAGTGCCTTCCCCACACAGCACGGGGTTCAGCAAACACATTAACATTTCCAGGACCCCAAAAAATAAGTTGAAAAAATTTGATGGCTTCTACAGTATGAGAAAAGAGCTGCAGATCAGTAATTAATAAATATTTAGCTAAACCTAACCTCTCAACATGGTTAATTGCCAAATGAAAAACTTTTTGATGTTAAGTTTTTCTTCCTTTGCAAGTATCATCAAATATTTAAGACTGTTGAAAACAATCACAAAAAACTTGATGAAATAAAAAGCCAATTTTTAAAGTCTTTTCTAAATTTTAAAAAATATGTTTACTAAGAAGAAAAGGGAGATTTTGATGCATTGGAATCCTATCTCATGAGGCCACCAAAAAACAAAAAATAAAACAAACCTGAGGGCATCTGGAAACCAAAATAGACCGTATCATACAGTACTTGACTGACTGCTTCTAACACCGGGTGAAAAATAAACTAGTTTAATTGAAATATTTGTATGGAATTCATCCTTTAAGCAATTTAAAAACCCCAAACTGTTTAATTGTTTCTAGTTTAGGATATAGGCATGAAACCAAAGGCATCATCACTTTTATTCTTCAGTCAGATTACAGAGAATATGTTAATAGCAAATTAATATATTTGTCCTTCATTTAAGACCCTTTGCAATAATTTCTTCAAATAAACTTCTTAGTGTCTTTTTCAGCAGACTTTAAATCACCAGGCATAATTTTCTTGGCACAGTTTTGGGTCATTAAAATGTCACAAAGGAAACCCCAATGATAATAGATAATTTCTAAATGCTTTTTAAAATTGCACTGAAGTAATTTTCCCCTTAGAAAATACTCATTGTATGAATTATTATAGAACTAATCATATACAGTTTAAATCTTTAAGTTTACTCATATGTTAATACTAACTTGTAAACTTCTATTAGTATTCATTTCATAATATATACTCATTACTTTCATTAATATGAACTCTAATATATATAACGTAACATATATATAATATATATATATATATATGCACACACTCCTTGACAAAT